CCCTGAGGCTCCAAAGGCCTCCATATTTGAGGTCTTTCGGCAAAGTATGCTCTGGAAGATAATGCCTGGCAAGAACCTTGTTCTGCAAGGTTTCAGGAACACCATATATAACTTAATGATTCCAAGGGGTCGTGCTCTTGTCTCAAATCGGACTGGTTCTTTTGCTCATGATGCTCTGAGCTGCTGCTTTCATCGAATTAAGCCGATGCTTCTCATCGAATTTTCTAGCATGCTCACACCATACTGTAAAAGCGACGCAGGAATGAGAATTCCAGGCTTCGGCGATGGCACATTTTGGACAGTCCTGACACAGGGGTCCAATCGATCTCTCGTTTGAACTCTGTTTTAGACCACCCCGTGCCTTTGACATACCCCATGAACGACTCGTCTCGGTACGTGTGGCTGTACTTGGGGTTGTGGCCTAAGATCTCATCGAATATCCCATCGCATATATGACCGACCAGTTCACTCGCCATGCTAACATGCAGCCGAGAGTCCATCCAGCATGGCCATCTGCACAATCTCCTGCCATCCCTCAGATCACCGCTTAGATTTGCACATGTGCATACACATGCATGTGTGCGTGCACATGCATGCTCTTGTCCCCAGGCATACATATGTATGTGTAAATCCGAATATATCATGTGTATATGCAAGCAAGGTGCATGCATCTTGGGTCGCAGCAGCCAGAGCATTTCTTTGTTTTCGCATGCCATCTGTGCCAGCTTCACATATGCAGCCGAGGAGTTGTCCTCGGCTCGAACTCAGCATCAACTCAAACAGGGCCGAAGGCTCTACACGATTTATCATAATCCAAGGAACAACAGTCTGCAGCAAGTATTCCCGCTCCTCCATATTCATATAGCGTGGGAACTTGTCCATCGCATTGAAAAATTCCGCAAGCCAATACCTCAATTGCACATGTTTTTTTTTATAACCCGTGTATCCGAAAGTGTCGTTATAAGCAGTGTCAGTTAGAGGCCAAGAATCAGACACTTCACCAGCTCGTCGAACCGCTTTGTTCCAGACTTGTCCGGATAAAGCGTGCAAAGCTTGGCACTCATCCAGGCCGTCACCACTCTGGCCTAAGCTTTTAAGCTTCGACACGACATATGAGCAAATATCTAGAGGCAGGTGCATGTACATGTATGTTTATGCCCAGTCGCATTGTGACCTTTGCATGCAAGCTCGGCATATCCAGTCGCCCCATCACGGAGGGTGCAGGGGCGGAACTCCGGCTGGGAGTGCCTTAGGGGCAGGGGTATAGAGTTGTGGGGATTGTGTTCTTGGGGCTATTTAAATTTATAATCATCATATTTATGTCGAGCGTCTGTAGCTTCATGGTTTTTGTCCAGCTCAGAAAATCCATATAGGCCAGTCCCAATCGTGCCGCCAGCACTTCCTTCTTCGGTGTTCCCTCAGGCGTCGGCCACAGATCCTGCTCATGGCCACATACACATATTAATTGTAAACGAGTATACATGCGGAATTCTGAATATTATGTTCCCATATATACCTTCATCTTAACTCGATTGTCCAAAAAATCCTGTATACATGCATGCATATTTCCTCGTACTTCAAAAGTTCGAAGATTGCAGAGGCGCAAGCCCAGCTTGCGACTCCGAGGTTTACTGTGTGGAGGCTGCACCATTTTACCATGTTGTGGTCGAAGCCCCGTACACCGAGCAAGCTGCCTGCACGAGCATGTACACGTATAACAATAACACAAGCTAAGAATTTAAAAGAATCAGCACATTCTTAAAGATGCCCTGTTGCAGCGATCACCGTGCTCGTTTACCTTGCATACATCCTTGAAACCGGCAAAGGTTCGGCGCTTTTCCAGGGCCAAACGACATGGAAACGTCAGGTAGGTGTTGTCGTGTGCCATACAGTGGTGACATATCCATGCGCTGTTCCAGCCCGTTGAAAGGGCGAAAGCTTCCTGCATGGACAGGTCATGCATCTGATCATGCACATGCAGATATGGTCAATGTACGTGTACATGTATCATGCAACATTTGTCCTTGTAGAATTTCCAATCCCCCCGAATCTCGGTTAGGACGGTTGGCTGGTATCGATTCTCGGGCTCGATGTCGTTCAACTCCGCCACAGGGTCCATCGTAGGATCTCCGATCCACTGCTTGGGGGCAATGCCATAGCTTGCATAGTTCAAGGATGCTGCGACCTTATATGATTAATGGTGGGGTTTAGGGTCCTAGGGTTTCTGGAACTATATATCCTTAAAGGGTATATACAGGGTCTAGGGTTTAGGGTTTTAAACATGAGCCGTTTTTGAATCGGTGCCATATACTTCCCGACTCTACATAGGGATATTTCTTTAAATATGTAACATGTATATGTCTGTGCATTCGAATCTCGCATATTACTGCTGATGTTCATGGTGCTCGCAGCATGCAACCGTACCAGCATTAAAAGAATATCAGAATCGAGCAGCTGGCTTCATGTAGGCCTCCAAGGTGTCAAAGCCCGTGCTCAAAGCCTCACGATGGCCAGCTTTGTTTATATTAATACTAGTTGCAAGCCAGCTTCGACCGACCATAATGCAGCTATGACTCACATCTGATGATAAACAGCGGGTATCGTCGCTGAGTTTCATCCAAGAGGAAATTGATGCTCAAGCAAATAACCTTCTGGCCAGTTTCAGTAAACCTGCAGTCGTCCCCGTGCAGGCCAATAGGAATGCAGCTATCCTCCCACATATGTGGCCATTTGATGGCCTGCTCGTTGGTGCACTTCTTGAAGTGCCTCCAAAACTTCTTGAGCTCAGCTTTGCAGTCGTCGCTGCCATAGTGCTTCGCCCCACGCCGGTACAAGTAGAGACAAAGCTCATGAGGAAGGATCAGAGGCATTTTCCTAGATGGCTGTACATGTGGAGGAATGATCTAGCATGATGGCAGCACAACATTGAACACATAACACCGGTGGTATGCAATGCAACACCACATTCGGTAGCCGATTACATACGGTCCTTGTTTCGGTGCACCATTCCTTGGTCGTCGGATGCCGGGCACGGACGGGCACGTCCACATAGTGGATGGGCACCTTGCTTGCACTGCAAACATGCTATCGTGCATGTACATCTAGGGTTTAGGGCTTATAGGGTTAATCTAGATCTTGCGAAGTTATTAGCAATAGATGGCTCATTGTGTCAAGGTACAGTCTCTTCCATGGATCTTCTCATAACATCCCTCTCGATGTTGGACTCGTGGGAGCCATAAGCTCCGGCACTCGCGAGGTCGAGCAGCGGTTGCCGTGGTCGAACACCGAGGCCCTGGATCTCCTTGCACAGTGTAGCACACCCTGCATATGTACCAGATGCTCCCTAGTGTATCCTTGGCAGCAGCATGTGCCACTTTCTGCGCCGCAACATAGCTGATCTCCTACGGGGATGAACTCAAAGGATTAATGTGGACATAGGATCGGCGATCCCACATGTTATCATCGGTCAGTCCCCAGTAGAGACCATGGACTTGAGCTTGCCCGCAGTCTCCGAGTGGCCACATTGCCCTGCGCAGGATTCGATGATATCTGTGCGAATCTGGAGATTCATTCTTTGCAACACGGTCGCATCCCACATGCTTGATTCGATCTTTTGAGGCACTCGTGCGGGCCCCCTAGCCCCGTCGAGCTTCACAACTTCGCTTCGAAGCATCGTCATCGATATCTAGCTATTAAAGAGCTCTGCACAGCCGCACATTTCAGCACTGCCGTGTTGGGTGATCTGGATCACTAGCTCCTGAGCATGAGAATTAAACCGGCCTTCGGACCAGGACATGTATGTGGCCAAAAGCAGCCATCGACCATTCACCAGAGGGGGCATGGACTATTGCATTGTAAATGAGTGGCCACTTGTGAAGGGTTTAAATAATTATTGGGTTCAGGGATAATTCATGGGGTATACATCACATGGCTGCTCGAGGCCTAGGATTACATGATATTACCTCCAGGGCTTAGGTCAGGGTTTTCAGGGATTTTCGGATTAATATTCTCAGGGATATAGTACTATGCTATATATAGCTATGAGTTCTCACTAGTACTGAGAAGCTACAGGGACTTTGGGGTACCGGAGAGAAGGGTCGTAATTACCTTGGGCCCCCTTCCTAGGGTGACGGCAGACTGGCTACACCACATGCAGCAGTAGGCCCATGGACATTGCCGGCCGAGTGCCCACATCACTCATCTCTTTGGTGCAGCAGCTGCTTTCTTAGCAGCACCTTTGGGTTTCTTCTCCTTCGGAGGAGCCTTAGCATCATCGCAGAAGTCGGGCAAATCGTGTGAGTGGATCCATGTACATGTACATGTACAGGGATCTAGATCTGATCCATCCAAATTTGCAGTCATGACTCGAAAGCTGAACGAATGGCCTTCATTCCTGACTGATACTTATCCATGGCCTTCTCGACCTCATGCATCCCCGGCGTGATGAGTTTTTCTTCCTGTGTACCGGTAACCACGACACTTTCCAGGGAATCAATCTTCCCGGTAAGGTTCGCAACCAAGAAGTTGATCTGATGCGTGTAGCCATCACACATCTCAGGTGACCTTATATGCTGATGGAAGGGCCAACTGGGGCGAAGTGCCTAGATGCATATATGACTTTAAGCTAAGGGACACAGTTGAGTCGGCTTCTTTCTTCTTCCGTTCTTCATCCACTTTGTGTGCCCACATCTTGGCATCTGTCAGCAGCGACTTTGCATCTTTGATCTTTGCATTGGCTTTCGATTGGAAGTTCGGCTTCGCAGTCTTTTTCGGCTTTGCAGTCTTAGTCTTATTGCTCTTAGCCGTATCCTGCTCCGCCCCAGGTGCAGCCGATCGATGATGACTGCCGCCGCCGGAAGGTCCATGGTTTGGAAGCTGCAGTGCCCCTGGCATTGCCGTGGAGTTCAGGAGCGCTGGCCTGACATCATTTCAAACAAATAAATAATCCTCGGGTCACCCTAGGCCTATTTGACCATAAGATTGTATTTTTAGGGGTTTATAAAGATAGCTATATAGGGTTTAGGGTTCAGGGTTTAGGGCTTAAAGTTATCGTAGCATAATTCGTGACGAGCCCAGGGATTGTGGTTAAACTCCATTGGACCGGAGAAGTTTGCTGCCAGGCCTATGATTACCCATCCCAAAGCCCCGGTAGTGCATGCTACTTACTTAACCCCCCCCCCCCGGGTTGTATCGAGATCGTGGGTCCATGTATATTTTGATTTGGTGGCTTGCAGGTTCGGATCTATGACGATCACATATATCGAATTCCGAAGCAATTTCATGAGCCCCTCAACCTAGCAAGGCTAGCTAGTTCTACATCCTAGTCCTAGTTGTAGTTCCAACTTCATTCCAAGCATCATAGCAGCTAGTTATAAGAACCCCAAGCCAAAGGAGCCCCTAACCCCGGATCATCAGCAAGCCTATAAGCACCCGAAACCCCGACATATAGCAGCTCTACACTCCTGCATTTTCTCACCCTAGCCTTAAACCCTAAACCCCTAAACCCCTAGACTCCTAAACCCGGAAACCCCTAAACCCCTAAACCTCTAAACCCCTAGACCCCTAAACCCCTAAACCCCTAGACCCCTACACAAAAAACCCTAGACCCCTAAACCCCTGAACCCCTAAACCCATAATGCCTAAACCAAAAAACCCTAAACCCGATTGCATCCGAGGTGCATGATCATTCCGGTTTGGGAACCACTCAACTGCAGATTGGCATCAAACCTCTGGTTTAGCTCATCTGTTCGTCGGGTTTCCACACGTGCAGCTTCATAGACCAGAAACATTTCCATGTCCTGGCAGCATAGACGGGGTTGTGGGCTTGTGCATGCATGATACCTCATGATCAACATATGCATGTGATAACATGATCGACTCTAGATCGGGTTCGGCACCTCGTCATTCTGCCAGTCCGGATGCTTGAACCAATAGGGAGCATCCACTTGGTAGTCGCCATTGATCCGCTGAAGAGCTTTTTTTTCTTCGCGAACCGCTATGGCGCGGTCCTGTCCATGTTGTTTCTTCAAGTCTTCGAAGCTGACATAGTGCCGGGAGCCCATCACCGTGTTCTTCTGTTTCCGTTTTGCTTCCAGCACGATGGAGCTGTTCATCCAATTCATTCCGGATTCCTTGTAAACCTTGAACAGCTCTTTGAGGACTTCAGTCCCTTAGTCGGGATATATGTACATGCACATCCCTTGCACAGACACTATGGCCATGCATGACAGGATCGGTTGAACAACATATGGTATGTGTGCACGACTACAGCTAATCGCCATCCAAGGTACCATATTTGCCATCGGCGGCCTTCTGCAAGATCACATCTGGACAATTGGCACCTCGATTTTTTTGAATAGAGGACCGCTGCTGTGTAGAATAAGATCAAGGATTTCGAATGCACTGTAATGCGAGGCAAGACACTTTCCAGAGACCGGTTGAACTTCATGCGTTCCCTTTTGGCTTTCTTCTTGGCCTCAAGCTTCTGGATCTCGTCATCATCCATATCTTCACCACTACCACCATCAACCACTGGCCCAGCATCGGCACCATAGGGATCCACTGTCACACCTGGGAGCTCGGGATTCGGAGTAGCCACCATTGAGGGCCCAGGATTCGGAGCAGCCACCGGAGTGTTTCCAGTCACGGCCTCACACATTGATGCATACATATCTATAGATCTACAATAATGCAAACACAGTGTCACAGAGGTGCAAGAGAACTCGAGAGATAGAGAGAGATTTAGGTTTAGGGTTCAGGGTTTAGGGTTTAGGGTTTAGGGTTTAGGGTTTGGGCTGAGAAGTAGGTGGCCTGGATGTCAGCAGTATTCAGGCGGTTCAAAGCCGATGTAACGCATTTAATCTGTTCCAGCTTCTCGGCCGAGGGCTTGCCATTCTCAGCAATCGGAACACCAGTGGAAACCTGCAGACCAGTTTCTGGAACCTGTTCAGCCCCAATCCTTGAAGCAGCGACGGTAGCAACATTGGGTTGCACAGGATGAGCGGCGTCTGCTGGCACTGGAGCTTCAGCGGGCTCTTCCTGGTGCGACTGGAGCTTAAAATATAGGGGTCTATTTCCGGGATCCACTAGCATAGCTACAATATTAATATATATACAGATACTTGAATTCGAGCCCTTGAAGCCTTAAAACGAAAATTAAAGCCTCAACTTGTAAACGTATCTTTTAGGGTTAGGGTTTAGGGCTTAGGGTTTAGGGCTTAGGGATTTTCCACCCTCAGCTACATGCATGATCAGACAACACATCCCGCGCTAGTGACTTGCAGTACTAGAACTGGAGCTTTGATCCGAAAGATTGGAGCTAGAACCACACGTACCATGATCAGATATATATTATAACTTATCATTCGAGCTTGTGCCTTGAGGACCATCCTTGCTAGTTCGGCTTCCAGGAAGGAGTCGTCATTCAGTATCTCTATCGACCCGGTCTCGGAATGCACATCGGCATTATCATCCATGGCCAGCTTCTCTAGGTTCAGACCACCCCCTTCTCCGGTGTGTGCTTTCTCGGAATCATTCAGACCACCCCCTTCTCCGGTGTGTGCTTTCTCGGAATCATTCTGGCCACCCCCATCTCCAGTGTGTGCTTTCTCGGAATCATTCTGGCCACCCCCTTCTGGTGCGTGTGCTTTCTCGGAATCATTCTGGCCACCCCCTTCTCCGGTGTGTGCTTTCTCGGAATCATTCTGGCCACCCCCTTCTGGTGTGTGTGCTTTCTTGGAATCATTCTGGCCACCCCCTTCTCCGGTGTGTGCTTCCTTGGAATCATTCTCGCCGCCCCCTTCCACGGTGTGTGCTTCCTTGGAATCATTCTGGCCGCCTCCTTCTGCTGCGTGTGCTTCCTCGGAAGCAAGACCGATATCCTGCTGGTCATCTCCATTCACACCTCCATAGGGGTCATACAGCAGGGTCTCAGCTTCATCTGGCAGCTCGAGAGCTTCATCGGGTTGTGATGCCATAGCAACATCATCTAGGACAAGCGAGGGCTCGGCGGCACCAGCTTGCACTGAGGCTACAGAGGCACCGTTTGTGCCATCGACCTGTGTAGAAGCATCGATATCAGCATCTTCCGGCCTAGAAGCATCGACTTGTGTCGATTCCAATTCAGCATCATCTAGCTGATCGGCCTGGGTCTCCTGCACAGTAGCATGCTTAGCTGCGGTGAGCACATCGTAAGCAACCTTCTGGGATGCATCCATCTGTCGCCACAGCTCTAGCTTCTGGGCAAACTCATCTGCAAAGCCATGCTTCTGAACAAGGCCCATGAGTTTGTAGAGTGCACAACCAGCCTTCTCAGCAGCTTTTCCTGCCTTTTCCTTAAGATCCCGAGACTTGCAAACCAAGCGATCGATTTCCCCCTGGAGCCACTTCTGAACCGCTCCCTTGCGCTCGTTGTCGTTGGCCTTCGCCTCAAGGATTTTTTGGGCCGCTGTTTCTGCTGCTGCCCTCCGCTTGGGCAACTCGTCTTCATCGTATGAGGCCTGCTGCTCGATTGCATCCAAGGCTTGCAGCATGACATCCTGACACGACATCACAGTCTCACCCAGCTTCCAGGCTTCATCAACAGCCACTAGGTCATCAAAAGGCTTGGAGCTCGAGACAAAGTCATTCAGGAAGTAGTCTTGCATCGCTCGAAGCCCATACGACATCAACCTTGGCCCAGCCTCTGCATCCATGAAGATTAAGTCGTAGGCCTGGCCATCCAGCTGCAAGAACTCATCCACATAGAGTGGCACCCGGGCATCCTTCTGATTAATGCTAGAGGATGACCACTGCAAAGTAGGTCGGCTATCGACTGTAACCAGGCCTCCTCGGATTCAGGATGTTTTTAGATATCGGGATTGGGATTTGCACTTGGGTTTCTATATATATAT